GCTCCTCAAGGAGGACGTGGGGAGTCCGTGTGTCCCTCCTCCCGCTTCCTGCCTGCCCTTTGTGGGTTGTTTGTGCCGGAAGCTGGTCCCTGCCCGGGATGGTGGCCCTGGGGACGTCACCGCGAGCTCTGTCCGGCAAAGCCACTTCCTCCTGTGCTTCCCACTAACAAAGACACAGTTAATTGGGAGCCCTGTTCCCCCTCTGCCTGATGGAGCCAGCGTGGGGACAGCCACATCCCTCTGCCACACCAGGACACGGCTCACGCCTGCTCGAAGGTCACCCCTTTATCTCGGTCCCAACCACAAACAGAGAACAAGGTGTCCCATGAGGGTTTCACACCTTGGTGCCTCCCTACTGCTGCATCCCCACAAGTGGGGATGTGTCACTGGTGAGATGGTGGCATTGAGCAGAGCGGGGACAACCCAAAGGGCAGGGGAGGGGGAGCTCGGGTCCTGCCCCTCCTCATGCAAGCCAGGAAATGCTTTGCAAGGGAGGGACTTGGGAGAAAAACAAATAAATCAGAACAAAAGGTATTTCTACAGCATGAACAATAAATGAGAGCTGCAGCAGGGGCAGGCGCAGGGACACGCACTGGGACAAGCAGCTCCGAGCTCAGCCCCAGCTCTGCTTTGAAGGGTTGGGATAAATGTGGGGCTCCGGTGGGAAACCCAGTGCCGGAGCATCCCCGGGTCACCCCAGGCATGGGATGGGGACAGGGACAGGGCTCGGGCAGCACCCTGAGAGCCGTGCTCTGGGGCCTCCTTCTCTATGGATCCTGTGGGCTTCCTGCAGCCTCCCTGCAGAGACGCCGGCTCTGGAAGCTAGAGCAAGCACAGGATGGGGCATGTCCTGGTACACAATGGGGCCAGGCTGGGACTGGCACCTCCCGAAGGTCCCCCACCCAAGGGACACAGGCTTTGGAACCCCAACAGCCATGGTTTGGGCACCACAAAGCCCCTGGCGTCCTCCACGGCACAACCACACAGAGCAGAGTTAATCATTGCCATGACTGAAACCAAAGGGTGTCGCAGGGCAGCGACTGAGGGCTGTGTCCCCAAGCACAGGGCGAGGAAGGAACCCAGAGAGGGGCTTTGGACGAGGGCCTGCAGGGATAGGCCAAGGAGAATGGCTTTAAACTGTCAGAGGGGAGACTGAGATGAGCTCTTGGGCAGAAGCTCTTCCCTGTGAGGGTGCTGAGGTGCTGGCACAGGGTGCCCAGAGAAGCTGTGGCTGCCCCATCCCTGGCAGTGTTCAAGGCCAGGTTGGACACAGGGGCTTGGAGCAACCTGCTCTAGTAGAAGGTGTCCCTGCCCATTGAGGGGCTTGGAACTGGCTTTAAGGTCCCTTCAACCCAAACCATCCCATGATTCTATGACCCAGAGCCTCAGCACTGTGCTCCTGGCACCCGGCCCATCAGATCCCACCCTGTTTGTCTTTCAGGGAGTTTTGAGTCCAGCTCAAAGCCTCGCTGTGCCAGTGGGGAATGGAACCAGCTGGGAAAAGACACAGCACCCAGCTGGGGTGACAGGGAGGGACCTGGCAGGCACCGGGCACAGCATCGCACCAGCAGCGATAACAGTGCACCCAGAGCAAACACACCAGCACCGGGCACAAAGAGGCTCCTGGCACAAAGTTGTGGCCAGGCTGGGAACAGGGAATGGCACAGGCTCAGCACAGCCCCAGGATCCCCAGCCCAACACTGCTTTGGGCACGTTCAGCCCAGCTGAGGAAGGGTAGGCAGGGAGGATGCTCGTGGGGGGATACAGGGTACCTTACCCTGGGTACCCATCAGCATCCCCAGCCCACACTGGGACTCACCCACTCCTCCACGTTGGGACCCTCTGGGACCACTGGCACCTTGTCCCAGTAGATGTTTTGCTTCCCATACTTCCAGATCTTGCTCCGTGTCTTGTGGGCGAAGAAGCAGATGAGACAGAGCAGGATGACAATGAGGAACCCACAAACGATGGCCACGGCCTGGAGGGGTGCAGAGAAGAGGAGAGCTGTGAAGACCCCATCCCAGGGTCTGGGTAGCCTGCACCTCTCTGGGCTGAGTGAGAATTGCTCCCCTTCATCCCAAAATCTTCCTGCTGTAGGATCCCTCACCATGGTGGGAGCAGAGGGGCAGAACCCCCCCTGTGCTGGGCAGCCAGGATGGAGCCCATCATGGTTTCAGGAGCTTTTGGCACCAGATTTTCCCATGGGAAGAGGACACGTTTGGGGCTCAGGAGCAGTAGGATCCCTGCCCCGATGGTTTCCCACGAGCCACATCCCTGGAGCTGCACCAACATCAGGGCCAGGTGAGGACGGATTAGGCCACAATTGGCCTTT